TGGCAGTTATGATTGTTATTTTATTGAAATGATTCTAATTAAATTATGACAATAACAGTTCAAACCACAGAATTTAAGGAAGGAGAGAGTAGAGGGCTCTTCACTCTTCCACATTTAAGGCAAAGTAAAAAGAAACAACAAAAGAAAGTCCTTAGAGAAAAATGAGAAGTACCAGGAGAGATTGCTATTACAGATGCTAAGGCAGGAGAATTTCTAGAGGAGAGTGTGGTCTTTGCTACCAGGTGACCCAGAAAGTCTACCACAGATGAAGATTGTGAAGAAGCCTCTGGAATTTGTAATAAAAACATCATTATGATCTTAAAGAGAATATTCAGGAGATGGAAGCCAGACAGTAGTGAAATGTGGAGAGCATGGGAGTCGGGGAAGCGGTGGTCTAGATGACTGTCACCCTGACATGCCTTAACAGCAGCCCCACACTCCAGGAATGAGTTGGCAAAGATATGACTATTTTAGTTCTCTACTGCTGCTATAACAAGAATACCACAAGTAGGAAAGGAATTTATTCTTTCACAGTTTAGGAAGCTAAAAGCTGTAGTACTGTACGCGATCTTTTATCCAGGGGGAAGCATTCAGAGTGCTGGTTCTAGGGACTGGGTGAAGGCCCCTCAACCTTGGACTTCAGCTCTGCCTCTTGTTCCAGGCCCACTGGAGCAGAGGCATCTCCTAATTCATGTAGCTGCTGGCTGCTGAGGCTAACAAACCCAAGGTCAGCAGGTAAAATGGCAAAATCTCAAGATCAGCAAGCAACATGACAGACCACTGGTTCAAGTCCAGGAACACTGACTCTTTGGAACCTCGGAGGCTGTTGCTCCACCCTTTGAGATCCAGAAGACCATGGCCCCACTTTTTGAAACTGAGAAGGCCCTACATCCTGTGCTCCTTCCAGCAGTTTTGCTGATCTCTGAGCTACTCCAGGGGTGGTCCTTTTCTTTTCTTGGAGGATAGCAGATGTAACTCCTTTGACCTATTTCCTGCCTATAAATTCCAAGAAGCAGACAATGTTCTTTCCTTTCATTCTTTCTCTGTGCCCTGCAATCTAAGTTGATGGGTTTTCTGCTGTCGTAGTTGTTTAGCTCCATTAGTCATAGGTTTAATCTCTTTAACAAAAGATTGTGTAGCCATATCCTTCGCGGACATTCTAAAACAGGTGTCATTAGTTTGTACAACTGAATTTTCAAAATCTTTAAGATCTGTATTCATTTTTTCACACTTCATTTTTAAGTCCATCTCTTTTCTCTCACATTTTACTGTAAGCAGCAGGAGAAACCACATGGCCCCTTTAATATCTTGCTTAGAAATCTCCTCAGCCAGATATCCAAGTTCATCACTTACAAGTTCTACCTTCCATCAAACATTTGAACATAATTCAGACAAGTATCTTTGACATTGCATAAAAAGCATCACCTTTCCTCCATTGTACAATTACTTGTTCATCTTTTTCTTTTAAAGTCCCATCAGAAGCACATTTAATGTCTGCATTTCTAGCAACATTCTGTTGCTGGTTCTATATGGTTCTCTAAAACGCTAGAGACTTTTTCTATAGCTCTTCTCACTTTCTTCTGAGCTTTCATCAGAATTGCCTTTAACATCATAATTCTATCAACAGTCTCTTCAAGGAAGTCTAGGCTTTTGTTAGGCACCTTAAAAATCTTTCAGCCTCTACCCATTACCCAATTCCAAAACCACTTCCACATTTTACGTATCTATTAGAGGAGCACTCCCATTTCTCAGTACCAAATTCTGTCTTAATTATCTAGTGCTGCTATGACAGAAATACCAGAACTGAGTGGTTTATTTTCTCATTTGTCGTTGTTGTTATGTACCCTCGAGTCGGACCCGACTCATAGCAACCCCTCCTTGGGTTTCCGAGGCAGTATCACTATGGAAGTAGATTGCCCCATCTGCCTTCTCAGGTTATTTTCTCATAGTTTATCTGAATTCAGAATGTCGGCTCCAGAAAAAGGTTTTCACTCTCTGTTGACTCTCCCTGGAGGAACATCCTGGTCTCTTCTGAGCTTCTATTCCTGGGAAATCTTCATGTGATTTAGCATCTCTTTCTTCATCTCTGATTCACTCCCTTGTTTAATCTCTTATATCTCTAAAGAGATAGACTCAAGATATACCCTGCACTAATCTTGCCTCATTAAATAACAAAGACAACCCATTCCCAAATGGGATTATAACAGCAAGCATAGAGATTATAATGCATATTTTGAGGGGACATAATTCAGTCCATAATGCCCTCTTCCATTAAATCCATTGCCATAGAGTCGATTCTGACTCATAGTGACCCTATAGGACAGAGAAGATCTGCCCCATAGGGTTACCAAGGTTGGGATCTTTACAAAAGCAGCGCTACTCCTTTTCCCACAGAAAGGTCGAACTGCTGACCTTTAGATTAGCAGCCAAATGCTTAACCACTGCACCACCAGGGCTCCTTTCCCCCTCTAAGAGTCTGATATTCTGGAAACTACCATCCTGCACCTATCCCTAACCCAATGTGGCAATCACTCTCACCAAGGAGATTTTGTTTCAGTTTATTTCCTGTAGCTGTATTTAAAAAACAGTAGGAATTTAATAATCTGTTGGAATAAAACAGATAAGAAAGAATTATAGGAATTGAGGATGATGGATTGTAGGAATTGAGGATGAATTTGAGAGACTGAGAAGATATGGGGAATAAGGGAGAAGAAAGAGACAAGGAAAGATCCAGGATCCTGGATTTGGGGCACTGAGTGAATAACTGTATCAAGTAGTATAACTAGTACTGTCTCTTCACTGTGTAGTTTCTCACTTCCACCTGCCTGGACTACAATGCACAGGTTTGTTGAGAGTAAGAAATAAATCACAGATTGATCGATGTTTGGAAACATTCAAGTGCTTTATAAATGTATGACATCGTTATTAATATTGTCATAGGCAAGATACAGTACATCTTATTCTCTTTCTTGAGCCTTCTCTTTTTGTGCACATCCTCTATCAGTAAGTATAATTCTAAATAGCTAGAAAGAACTAACATATATTCCTCACATAACATTTTACAGATAAGGAAATAGAAATGCAGACAGGTTTTTTTTTTTTTAAAAAAAAAAAAAACACCTAGTCTAGGATTGCACTCAATAACTGAAGAGTACACATCCTTTCTGATCACATGTAGAACATTTATAAAAATTGACTGCATACTAGGCTATAAAATAAGTCTCAATGAATTCTAGGGAATCAGTAACCTACTGACCATATTCTCCCACCAATGAAGTTAGAAATTAGTAACAAAAAGATTGGATTTTTTTAAAAAAAGGAACGCATATATTGAGAGATATTTTAAAAAAAACACTTCTAACTCAATCATGGACCAAAGAAGAAATTATAATAGAAATAATATACTTATAAAGGAATGATATTTAAATATCAAAAGTTATAGAATATAGCTACAAACTTGCAGCACTTTGAGGGAAATTTATGTCCTTACATACTTATATTAGAAAAGAAGAAAGAATAAGAATAAATGAATAAATAAATTAAGCATCCAATTTAAGAAAAACGGTAAGTCTAATATTACAGAAGAGGATATTCAGGTGGCCAACAAACACATGAAGAAATGTTCACTATCATTAGCCATTTGAGAGATGCAAATCAAAACAACAATGAGATACTATCTTGCCCCCGCACTAATAGCAAAATTCAGCAAGACAGAAAATAATAAATGCTACGAGTTGGGGCCGACTCGACGGCACATAACAACAACAACAACAACAGTGAGGATGTGGAGAGACTAGGACGCTCATATGCTGCTAGTGGAACTGTCAAATGATACAACCACTGTGGAAAGTGGTATGGCAATTCCTTAAAAACTTGAAATTAGAAATACCATTTGATCCAACAATCCCATTACAAGGTATATATCCTAAAGAAGTGAGAGCCAGGACAAGAACAGATATATCCACACCCATGTTCATCACAGCACTATTTACAAAAGCAAAAAGATGTAAACAACCTAGGTGCCCATCAGCAGAAGAATGGATAACCAAAGTATGGTACATACACACAGTGGAATACTAAGCAACACTAAAGAATAATGTAGAATCTGCAAAACACCGCATAAGTGGATGAACTTGGAGGACATTATGCTGAGTGAAATAAGTCAAATCAAGCTTTTGTAACTGGCATTCTTGTTCACAGGAATACCTCTGAATAAAATATATGCCAAGAACTAAAAAAAAAAAAAAAAAGAATAACGGTAAGTCTAAATAAATAAGCAGTCTGACAGTATTGCAATGAATGACAAGTGTGGATTTGACATTAGATATACCTGACTTCAAAGCCCTCTCTGTCTCCATTGTGCCATGCACCTTTCTCTGTGTTATTCCCTGTAATATGCCCCCAAAAAACCCAAACCCATTGCCATCAAGTTGATTCTGACTCATAGTGACCCTGGAGGACAGGGTGGAACTGCCCATAGGGTTTTCAAGGCTAAAATCTTTAAGGAAGCATACTGCCACATCTTTCTCCTATGTTGTGGCTGGTGGTTTCCAACCACTGACCTTTTGGTTAGCAGCTGAGCACTTAACCACTGCACCACCAGGGCTCCTTATAATATGCCCAGTTCCTAGAAATCCTTTCTCTCTCTAAGAGTCAAGGAGATGAGCCTATAGGGTTAGGTGACCTCTTGCTGAAAGATTTTTGGTAAACCTCATTCATTCATTAAATATTTAATAAGAATTTGCTACATGCCAGGTACTATGCTAATGACTGCATACATTAGTCTCCTTTCCTCAAAGTGTTAAAAAATTAGCATTTGTTGGGACCAAAACTGCTGCTGCTACTACTACCCCCAACTCTTCCCCCCAACTCCTAAGCTGCTGGAATCTTCTCTACTGCTTGTCAGAACAGCATCCCCATCAAAAATGACTGATTTCTCTCCTGTCTCTTTCAACAGGTAGACTGAAATTACCATGTGTCCAAATTAAAATTGCATACTTCAAGGATTATTTGAAGGACTATTCTTAGACCCTTTTAAGAAGATTTAAAGAAAAGTGAGTTAATTTTTTTAACACATCAGAGAGTATTCATGATTTAAGTTAATGTTATGATTATTTCTTTTTCTCTACTTCTTTAAATATGTGTTAATAGGTAGACTTTATCTCCATTTATTTTATTTTATATATCTTTTTCCCTGAGAACGATGAACAGGGAGTGCAAAATTACTTCTTGCCTTCTCTGTAAGATTTCAGTATATTTCAACGCCTGTGGAATCTTAGAGAATGAAAAGGTCTTTGAGGTATAGACCATTCCCTACTGAATGCTGGAGGCCAGCAGGAGACTCTCTGTAGACCCTTGGCTTGTGTTTGAAAACCTCTAAGAGCTGATGGAGAACTCTGTATCTCCTCATATTCTGGATTGTTAGAGAGTTCTTCCTTAATCTGGATTTGAAATCCACTCCTCCTCACATCTTGCCAAACTGCTTTCTTTGTTGCTGTTACTTGCCATTAAGTTGATTTTGCTGTATGGTGACCCCCTGTGTGCAGAGTAGAACTGTGCTCCATAGGGTTTTCAAGGCAGTGGCCTTAAGAGGCAGATCTCCAGCTTTGCTTCTGAGGTACCTCTGAATGTGTTCAAACCATTAACCTTTCGGCTAGTGGCCAAATGCTTAAATAGTTGCTCTAACCCAGGGACTCCTCTTTTTTTATTTTATGATCCTAAAAATGGTTGAAGGCAAAGATCATGTCTCTCACTGAGATCTTCCCTTATTCTTTGTTCCTCCAATGACGCCTCAGAATTTAGTATCAAGAGCATTTCCTGCACTGATCAATTTCTTTCCCATACAGTAAATGTCTTAAAAAGAGGCACTAGCCTCAAACACAAACACAGCACAGATGGTGGCCTTTGTCCCAATAAACACAATACAACACAACTACTGCTGTGGAGTTGGATCCGACTCAAAGCGACCCCTCCTTGGATTTCCAAGGTGGTATCACTACTGAAGTAGATTGCCCAACCTTCCTTCCAGGGGGGTGGCTGGTGGGTTTGAACCGCCAGGCTTCTGGTTAGCTGTCAAATGCCTTAGGCAGTAGGCCACCAGAGCTCCCCAGTAAGCACAAGATAATTGGAGGATGATAAACCCTGGGGAGGAGGGCTGGATTCAAGTCCCAGTTCTCCTATTTCTGTGTTCTTAGGCAAGTCTCTTCATCTCTTTGAGCTTAGTGAATAAGAGGAGGGTAGTGTGATATGGTCATAATGATGGACAGTTTTGCTGACTCAAGGTAAAAAACTTGCTTTTCCCTGTCTCAGGCACTGGTGTGAGCCATGACATGGAGATCAGTTGGAACTGGGTCCAGTCCCAACCCTCCCACTTGCTGACTTTGTGGCCATAAGCTGTCACTTCACATCTACGAGCATATATTTCCTTATGCGTGACTTAAGGATATTAATACACATTGCAAACGATTTGTGTGAGGATATACTGGGATATGTATGTAAAACGATTAGTACCTGATATGTAGGACGTGTTCAATAAATGGTTTCCCCTAGTATTATTATAGGTAGTAATGGAGTTACTTTCCTTTGCAAAGAGAAGAAGAAGTGAATAAGAAGAGAGAAGATGTGACCATGCTTATTAGAGATAGGGGAAGACATGTCCACATCACATAAACTTTCATATAAACAAAAGCTCAAATTCAGTAAGTTTAGGAAGTTAAAACTCTGCTTCTCAGGAGCAGACAGTGAT